TGTGGGACTTGATCCCGGGTCTCCAGGGTCACGCCCTGGGCTGAAGGTGGCGTTAAACCACTGAGCCACCTGGGCTGCCCACACTTATTATTTCTAATTGCTTTTTTATATATTCCTTTGGATTTTCCACTTACATATGTCATCTTTGAATGATGACTTTTATTTTTTCTTTACCAAATTTATACCTTTTATTTCTTTATTGCACTGATTAGACCTGCCAGCACAATACTGAATAGAGGCAGTAATTATGGACATTCTTGTTCTTTTGTTGAACACAGAAGGCATGTAATATTCCATCATAAACTGTTACCTGTAGTTTTTTTCTAAAAACTTACCATCACCTCAGGGAATTTAACTTTGTTCCTAGTTTGCTTTTTATTCTTGTTATGAAAACTCTGAGTGTTGAATGTTATCCAGTGCTTTTGCTGCATTTACTATATGATCATATGATCTGTCTTCCTCGTGTCTTACTTGGTGAATTGCATCTGTTGATATTCAAATGTCAAACCAACCTTGCTTTCCTGGAATAAACTCCACGTCCCCTTGATGTATTATTATCCTAATGATATATCCTGGATTTGATCTGCTAAACTTTATTGATGCAAATAAACAAACCTTTTAGAATTTCTTTTTTTAAAAAAGACAGAGTGTGTTTCATTCAAGCCAAGTTAAAATAGCTGCCTAGGATACATATCCTTCACAAAGAAGAGTGCTTTTATTAAAAAAAAAAATTTTTTTTTATTTATTTATTCATGAGAGACAGAGAGAGAGAGAGAGAGAGAGAGAGGCAGAGACACAGGCAGAGGGAGAAGCAGGCTCCATGCAGGGAGCCCGATGTGGGACTTGATCCCAGGTCTCCAGGATCAGGCCCTGGGCTGAAGGCAGCACTAAACCGCTGAGCCACCTGGGCTACCCGAAGAGTGTTTTTTTTTTGGTGTGGAGTTATATACATTTTGTACATCAAGAATTACAAATTATTAGACAAGGAACATTTTAGAAAGTTGCAGATCTTATCTCAAGTTTCTAGTATATGCAGGACTGTATGACTTTAATCTTATAGGAACCATGGAAATTTCTTCCTTTTTCTTTGTGTTCAGAATGCTCTTTTCTGGGTATTATCTTTAGTGAAGCAGATATACAATGTGTGCTCAGGGCAGAAATAGCATCCATGCTTTGAAGTTTGGCCTAGTCATTTTCACCTTGGTAAATGTGAAAGACTTTAAAGTATAGTCTCCCTGGGAGCCCAGGAACAGGACCCACAGACATTAAAATTTGAAAATTGCCTATATCAACTTTCATTTAGGGTTTTTGCATATTTGCTCATGAGTGTAATTTTACTTTTTTGTCATATCCTTGCCAGATTTTGATATTAAGAATATGCTGGCCTCATAAAGGGAGTTGGGACATATTCCTTCTGTTATATTATCTGGGAGATTTTGTGTAATTAGTGCTATTTCTTCTATAAATATTTGGGAGAATATATTAATAAAACATTGTGTGCTAGGAGTTTTCTTTATGAAAGGTTTCTAATCAGAGATTCCATTTCTCTAATGATACAAGACTGTTCAAAATCTGTATTTCTTCTTGGGCCCATTTTGATGTTACTTCTCATGGTATCTGTTCATTTTGTTAAATTGTCAAATTTATTTGTCTAAAGTTGTTTGCAATCTCCTCTCTCTATGTGTGTAAGGTCTGTGGTGGTATTGCTCATATGTTTTTTCTCTCCATTTTTTTATGTCTGTCTTAATCTTAAAACAACAACAACAAACTCTGGTTTTTGGCTTTGTTGGTTTTCTCTATTTTAACTCTACATTTCATTAACTGCTGATCTTATTGTGTTTTCCTTCATCTTTTGAGGGGGTTTGATTTGTTGCTCTGTTTCACACTTCTTGGGATGGAATAGATCTTAGATTTTACACATTTATTCTTTCTTAATAATATATGTATTTAAAGTTATTAAGTTCTTCCTGAGCATTCCCTTAGCTGCATCCCACAGGTTTTGATATGTCATGTATTTATTACCTTTCAATTTAAAATATTTTACAACTTCCATTGTGATTTTTTTTTGACCCATGACTGATTGATGGATGGATGGGTGGATTTTTAAAGATTTTATTTTTAAGTAATCTCTCTACCCAACATGGAGCTTGAACGCACAAACCCAAGATCAAGAGTTGCCTGCTCTACCGACTGAGCCAGCCAGGTGCCCTGACCCATGAGTTATTTAGAAGTACGTTGCTTAATTACCAAAAATTTAGGAGTTTTCTAGTTACCTTTATGTTACTCATTTCTGGTTCAATTTCACTGAAGCCAGTTATTTACACAATTTTCATAACTTGAAATTTAAAAAAAAAAATAACTTGAAATTTGTTGAAACTTGCCTAGCCTAGAGAAAGTCTATTTTTGTAAATGATCCAGGTGAACTTGAGAAAAAAAATGTATTCTGACATCATTTAGGTCAAACTAGTTAATCATGTTGTTCAAATCTTTGGTAGCTGTCTTAATCCATTTGGGCTGCTATGATAAACTACAACAGACTGAGTAGATTATAAACAATAGAAATACATTTCTTACAATTCTGGAGTCTAGAAAGTCTAAAATTTTGGCACCACAGATTTGGTGTCTGGTAAGGACCCACTTTCTAATTCATAGGTGAACAATTGTCTTCTTGCTATGTCCTCGTGGTGGGAGGGGTGAGGGATCTCTCTGAGGCCTCTTTACTTTTCTTTCTTTCTTTCTTTCTTTCTTTCTTTCTTTCTTTCTCTCTCTCTCTCTCTCTCTCTCTCTTTTTTTTTTTTTTTTAGAGAGAGGAAGGGAGGGGCAGAGAGAGAATCTTAGACCAGGCTCCACACTGGGTCTCAGGATCTCATCACCCTGAGATCATGACCTGAGCCAAAATCAGGAGTTGGATACTTAACTGAGGCACCCAGATGCCCCTGAAATGATCATATGGTTTTTATCTTCTCTCTTGTTGATGTGATGTATCATGTTAATTGATTTGTGAATGTTGAATCACCTTTGCAACCCAGGAATAAATCCCACTTGATCATTGTGTTAAATTCGTTATTAGATTCAGTTTGCTAATATTTTGTTGAGGATATTTGCATCTGTGTTCATCAGAGATACTGGCCTGTAGTTCTCTCTTTCAGTGGTGTCTTTATCTGGTTTTGATATTAAGGTAATGCTGGCCTCATAGAATGAATTTGCAAGTTTTATCTTCTTTGAATAGTTGAGGAAGAGTCAATGTTAACTCTTCTTTAAATGTTGGTAGAATTTGCCTGTGAAGCCATCTGGCCCTGGACTTTTTGTTTGTAAGGAATTTTTTGATTATTGATTCAATTTCTTTCCTGGTTATCAGTCTGTTCATATTTTTTTGTCTCTTCTTGTTTAGTTTTGGGAGGATATATGTTTCTAGGAATTCCTCCATTTCTTCTGGGTTGTCCAATTTGTTGGGATATAATTTTCATAATATTTTCTTATAATTCTTTGTATTTTTGTGGTATTGGTTGCTATTTCTCTTTCATTTTTTTTAAAAAAAGATTGATTTATTGATTGATTGATTGATTGATTTGAGAGAGAAAGTGAGCATGAGCGGGCATGGGGGGACAGAAGGAGAAGCAGAGTCCCCATTGAGCAGAGAGCCTAACACAGGGCGCAATCCCAGGACCCTGAGATTGTGACCTGAACCAAAGGCAGAGGCTAAACCAACTGAGTGATCCAGGTGCCCCTCCTCTTTCATTTCTGATTTTGTTTATTTGAATCTTTTCTCTCTCTGTTTTTTTTTCTTTTCTTTTTTTCATGAGTCTGGCTGAAGGTTTATCAACTTTATTGATCTTTCCAAAGAATCAACTCCTAGTTCAATTAATCTGTTTTATTGGATGTTTTTTTATCAAAATTTAAAACTTTTTATTTGCATATTAGAAAATTGTGCATTCCAATAATTAACATCATTTGAACCCCCTCCCAAAAATGGTATTTTACAGCCTGTAGGACTGGTCCATGTTGGACCAGATTTTACTGTCATCCTACCCAACTTCTTCCTTCACCAATGTACAGTTCTTTTTCTTCCCTGCCAGCCAGATGGGTAGATGGGAATAGCAGGTGCCTTCACTGTCAGTAGTTCTGTTTTGATGTGGGCTGCACCATTTCCACAGACAATTGCAGTGGGGCTTCACATTATCCTATTGATGCTGTGAATTACTTCAGTTTGATTTGATTTGATTTGATTTGATTTGATTTGATGTAGCATACTGGGGCAGTAACTCTTTACCAAGAGTTACTAAGTGATTTTGGGGGGTAGGTTATGAGGAGAGTGATAACAAAGAACTAGTTTTCTGAGATATAAGAACTGTTTGGAGTTGTCTGACTAAATATTGTACTAACATGAATAGTAGTAGGTAAGGTTTGTAAATCAGCGGAATTACCTCAGGAACAAGGTTTCTGTAATGATAATAAAATAGTAATTATTCAGTGCTTTCTTGTGCCAGAAGTTGTTCTAAGTGCTTTATGAATATTAACTCAATTCCTCACCATAGCTGTATGAGATACCCACGGTCCTTCCAGTTGTTCAGATAAGAAACTGGAGAAGCTAAGAAGCTTGTCTAGGGTCACATGTTTAGTGGATACTAACAGTTGAACCCAGATAATACTATGCTATGCTCCATGTTCTTAACCAGTAGGCTGTTTTGTCTTTCTCCTGGTTTACTCTGGAGTACACAGAAGTGACTCAACCAGCATTCTGGGTATTTTATTTATAGTAGCTAATGATGTAGTTCTAAAGTTAAGGGTAATACTCTTTGTGAAAATAAAACTCGTATTGCCTTGCTTGGTATTGCTTCTCAAAGCAACCCAAGTTCATAATATTTCTAAAATCGAGTTTGCATACCTAAAGTTTTTTTATGTTTTTTTTTAACTCATTTTGCCCTAGTCAGGCAAAAAGCTAAAATTAGAGATAGAAAATCCAGTTTTGACCATAGACTCTTATGTGCTTGAACCTTTAGAATGTTGCTGTATTCCAACACTATAAAAGATTGATTGATATCAGAAGACAAGGCGAGCCACGTCAGATAGTGAAATATATTGATCCTAAAGAGGTGAGGATATTATTTATTCATACAGCATCTGGTTTTTCCCTTAAAGACATGTGACTGCTTTATAAATGTGCTTGTGTGTGTTTCTTCTTAAAAATTGTCTTATTAAGGAATTACCCACAGGTAGAAAAGTTCATAAAACAAATGAATCATCACAAATTATCCCCTGTGTAACCATCACCCAGATCAGAGTCTCATACTTCAGACCATTGCTTTCTGGTGCCCTGCACATCACTGCAACTCCCTGCTTCCATGAGGCAACTACTATTTTGAATTGAAGCTTTTTTTTTTTTTTTAGTCTTCTCTGTTTTCAACCGTGTGTAAATAGAATCCTATGGTGCACTTTTGTATCTGTTCATTCAACATCATTAGTATGGCTGAATTTTATTCATTGTATTAAAAACAATGACAGTTATTTCATTTTATGAATATACTGTTGTTTATTCATTCTACCAGTGACTGACATTTATATTTTTTTCCAGTTTGGGTCTGTTACAAAGACTGCTTTGGGGAATATTATTCATCTGTCCTTGTGCACATATGCACAAATTTCTTCTCTAAAGACATGTTGCTGAGCTTTAAATGTGTCAATTGCCCTGGGTAACATAGACATAGACAAATTTTCACAATATTCTTCCAATCTATGAGCATGGAATATTTTTCCATCTCCTTGTGTCTTCCTCAATTTCTTTCAGAAGTGTTCTGTAGTTCTTAGGGTATAGATCCTTTACATCTTTGGTTAGATTTATTCCTAGGTATCTTATGCTTTTGGGTACAGTTGTAAATGGGATTAACTCCTTAATTTCTCTTTCTTCAGTTTCATTGTTAGTGTTTAGAAATGCCACTGATTTCTGGGCATTGATTTTGTATCCTGCCACACTGCCGAATTGCTGTATAGGTTCTAGCAATCTTGGGGTGGAGTCTTTTGGGTTTTCTATGTACAGTATCATGTCATCTGCAAAGAGGGAGAGTTTGACTTCTTCTTTGCCAATTTGAATGCCTTTTATTTCTTTTTGTTGCCTGATTGCTGAGGCGAGGACTCCTAGTATTATGTTGAATAGCAGTGGTGAGAGTGTACATCCCTGTTGTGTTCCTGATCTTAGGGGAAAGGCTCCCAGTGCTTCCCCATTGAGAATGATATTTGCTGTGGGCTTTTCGTAGATGGCTTTTAAGATGTCGAGGAAAGTTCCCTCTATCCCTACACTCTGAAGAGTTTTGATCAGGAATGGATGCTGTATTTTGTCAAATGCTTTCTCTGCATCTAATGAGAGGATCATGTGATTCTTGGTTTTTCTCTTGCTGATATGATGAATCACATTGATTGTTTTACGAGTGTTGAACCAGCCTTGTGTCCCGGGGATAAATCCTACTTGGTCGTGGTGAATAATTTTCTTAATGTGTTGTTGGATCCTATTGGCTAGTATCTTGTTGAGAATTTATGCATCCATGTTCATCAGGGACATTGGTCTATAATTCTCCTTTTTGGTGGGGTCTTAGTCTGATTTTGGAATTAAGGTGATGCTGGCCTCATAAAATGAGTTTGGAAGAACTCCATTTCTTTCTATCTTCCATACAGCTTTAGTAGAATAGGTATGGTTTCTTCTTTAAACATTTGATAGAATTCCCCTGGGAAGCCATCTGGCCCTGGATATATATTTGTGTCTTCGGAGGTTTTTGATGACTGCTTCAATTTCCTCCCTGATTATTGGCCTGTTCAGGTTTTTTATTTCTTCCTGTTCCAGTTTTGGTAATTTGGGTTTTTCCAGAAATGCATCCATTTCTTCTAGAATGCCTAATTTATTGGCGTATAGCTGCTCATAATATGTTTTTAAAATCGTTTGTATCCTTGGTATTGGTTGTCATCTGTCGTTTTTCATTCATGAGTTTATTAATTTGAGTCTTTTCTCTTTTGTTTTTAATAAGGCCGGCTAATGGTTTATCTATCTTATTAATTCTTTCAAAGAACCAACTCCTGGTTTTGTTGATATGTTCTACAGTTCTGCTGGTCTCTATTTCATTGAGTTCTGCTTGAATCTTTATTAACTCTATTCTTTTGCTTGGTGTAGGTTTTATTTGCTGTTCTTTCTCCAGTTCCTTTAGGTGCAAGGTTAGCTTGTGTATTTGAGTTTTTTCCAGTCTTCTGAGGGAGGCTTGTATTGCGATGTATTTCCCTCTTAGGACTGCTTTTGCTGTATCCCAAAGATTTTGAACTGTTGTATCTTCATTCTCATTAGTTTCCATGAATCTTTATAACTCTTCTCTAATTTCCTGGTTGACCCTTTCATCTTTTAGCAGGATGCTCTTTAACCTCCATGTGTTTGAGTTTCTTCCAAATTTCTTCTTGTGATTGAGTTCAAGTTTCAAAGCATTATGGTCTGAAAATATGTAGGGGATAATCCCAGTCTTTTGGTATTGGTTGAGACCTGATTTGTGACCTAGTACATGGTCTATTCTGGAGAAAATTCCATGTGCACTTGAGAAGAATGTGTATTCAGGTGCATTTGGATATATGGTTCTGTAAATATCTGTGAAATCCATCTGGTCCAGTGTATCATTTAAAGTTCTTGTTTCTTTGGAGATGTTGTGCTTGGAACATCTGTCATTTGTAGAAAACACTGTGTTGAAGTCTCCCAGTATTAGTGTATTACTATATAAGTTATGTCTTTACTTTGGTTATTAATTGATTGATATACTTGGCAGCTCCCATATTAGGGGCATATATATTCATGATTGTTAGGTCCTCTTGTTGGATAGACCCTTTAAGTATGATATAGTGTCCCTCTTCATCTCTTACTACAGTCTTTGGGAAAAAGTTTAATTTATCTGATATGAGGATTGCTACCCCTGCTTTCTTTTGAGGACCATTTGAATGGTAAATGGTACTCCAACCTTTTATTTTCGGGCTAGAGGTGTCCTTAGGTCTAAAATGAGTCTCTTGTAGACAGCATATAGATGGGTCTTGCTTTTTTATCCAGTCTGAAACGCTGCGTCTTTTGATGGGATCATTAAGCCCATTCACATTCAGATTAACTATTGAAAGATATGAATTTAGTGTCATCAGAATACCTATTCAGTCCCTGTTTTTGTGGATTGTTTCTTTGGGCTTCCTGTTTCTTTTACAGAGTCCCTCTTAATATTTCTTGCAGAGCTGGTTTGGTGGTTGCATTTTCTTTCAGTTTCTGCCTATCTTGGAAGCTCTTTATCTCTCCTTCTATTCTGAATGACAGCCTTGCTGGATAGAGTATTTTTGGCTGCATGTTCTTCTCATTTAGGACCCTGAATATATCCTGCCAGCCCTTTCTGGCCTGCCAGGTCTCTGTGGAGAGGTCTGCTGTTAATCTAATAGTTCTCCCCATATAATTAGGGATCTCTTGTCTCTTGCTGCTTTCAGGATTTTCTCTTTATCTTTGGAATTTGCAAGTGTCACTATTAAATGTTGAGGTGTTGAAGGTTTTTATTGATTTTGGGGGGGGGGACCTTTCCATCTCATCGATCTGAATGCCTGTTTCCCTCCCAAAATTAGGTAAGTTCTCAGCTATGATTTGTTCAAATATGCTTTCAGGTCCTCTGTCCCTCTCGGCGCCCTCTGGAGCCCCAATTAAATATAGATTTTTCCTTCTGAGGCTGTTATTTATTTCCCTTAACTTTTCCTTACAATCTCTTAATTGTTTTTCTCGTTTTTCCTCAGCTTCCTTCCTTGCCATCAACTTGTCTTCTATGTCACTCACTCTTCCACCTCATTAGCCCTTGTCATTAGGACCTCCAGTTTGGATTGCATCTCATTTAATTGATTTTTAATTGTGGCCCGACTAGATCTAAATTCTGCAGTCATGAAGTCTCTTGAATCCTTTATGCTTTTTTTCCAGAGCCACCAGTAGCTTTATAATTGTGCTTCTGAATTTTTTTCTGACATCGAATTGTAATCCAAATTCAACTCTGTGGCAGAGAGTACTGTTTCTGAGTCTTTCTTTTGTGGTGAGTTCTTCTTTCTAGTCATTTTGCTCAGTGCAGAGTGGCTAAAAACGAGTTGTACTGGAAAAAGGAAGAAAAAAAAAAGGAGTATCATCCTCTGGTTCTATATATTGTAAATCACTCATTTCCCCTGGAGCTTTCCAGTGCTACTTGGTCAAGAACTTGCTCTTCCCCCCGTGCTTCCAGCTGGTCTTCTGGGGGAGGGGCCTGCTGTGCTGATTTTCAGGGTTTTTTTTTTAAAGATTTTATTTATTTATTCATAGAGAGTGAGTGAGAGAGGCAGAGACACAGGGAGAGAGAGAAGTAGGCTCCATGCAGGGAGCCCAACATGGGACTCGATCTGGGTCTCCAGGATCACACCCTGGGCTGCAGGCGTCACTAAACTGCTTTGCCACCGGGGCTGCCCTAATTGTCGGGTTTTTTGCACCTGGAGGAACTTCCCCGCCTCCTGCCAGGTGCACAGCTTAGTGGGAGCTGCTTATCCTGTGAGGCCCCTGTGCCCTGGCGACCCCGCCCCTCCCAGGCACCCGGTGACACCAGGAGGAACAGCACCACTGGTGGGGCCAGCTCTCCAGCCCTGGAGTCAGCTCCCGTAGTAACTACAGAATCTCCCAGCCCCCACTGGCCTAGATGCTCCCAGGGGCGAGGGACACTGATCTGCACAGCTTGGGGGCAGCCGGTGGCAGGAGTGTCCTCACTGTCCTGTGCCCTCCCTGCCTCCACCTGTCCTGGGGAAGGGCAGGATCTTGGGCTGTGTCCCCTGGCGCCCTGGGATCTAAAATTGGCCACTTTATCGTCATGTAACCCTCTTCTTTATCCCTGATAATTTTCCTTGCTCTGAATTAAGCTTTTTTCTGAAATTAATATAGCTGCTCAGTTTTCATTTAATTAGTTAATGTATTATATCTTTCCCCATTACTTTGCTTTTAACGTTTCTGTGTCTTTATGTTTAAAATGTTTTTGTTATAGACAACATACAGTTGGGTCTTATTTTTTTTAATCTATGTTGGTAGTCTCTGCCTTTGACTTTGTATATTTAGACCATTGATATTTAATATAGTAATATCTAACATGTTTGTTAATGTTTTCTATTTCTTGCCTTTGTTCTTTGTTTCTTTTTTGTATTGCACTATTTTTCTGTCTTCTGTTTTAATTGAGCATTTTATGTAATTACATATTCTTTCCTTTAAGCATATCACTTGTACCTCTTTTTTACTATTTTTGGTTTTCCTAGTTTGCAGTGAATATTTACAACTAAGTCCACTTTAAATAACACTATTAAGTCATGCTGAAAGGAACTGCCAATACCCAACCAACCCTAATCCCCATTTGAGTTTGCAGATGGTAGAGGATAAAGAAGTAAACTCAAATCTTCCCAAAGGAACATCTGAATTTCCTACAGGCTTTCAGAGTTGAGGAGATAAAGACTTGCCAGAACCACAGCTGAGAAATAGGGAAAAACTAGAAATGGAACAGATAAGGATTACTAAAACTGCAATCCAAGCTCAATTCCACTCCATTTCTGATTGGATTTACATGATCATCCCTTTACCCTCACTGAATAAAAGAGGAAAGAAAAAAATCCATGAAGCTGTACACTTGAAATTTGCCTACTTTAGTGGAAATAAAAGTTTATATATAATGAATTTTGTTTAAAATGTATATGCAGTTGATCTCTGAACAACATTGGGATAGGGGCACTGACCCCTCATGCAGTCAAAAATCCATGGGTAAGTCTCCAAAAAGTCAACTACAAATAGGCTACTGTCAACAAGTAGCCTTACTAATAACATAAATAGCTAATTAACACATATTTTGTATGTTGTATATATTACTCTATTCTTACAATAAAGTAAACTAGAGAAAATAACATGTTAAGAAAACCATAAAGAGGAGAAAATACTTTTACAGTACTGTATTACAAAAAATCCACATATAAGTTGACCCGTGGTCTTCAAACCCATGTTGTTCAAGTGTTATCTGTATAAATCTTATGAATTTTTAAAATATGTTTGAGACCCTGTTATAAAACATGTTTTTTCATGTTTGAACTGTGACCTTATACACGTATGCATGTGTAAATAGACTGTTTAGTCACGAAAAACTTATGCAAAACTTTGTGTGATCTTTCAGGCTTTACAGACTGAATGATTTAAGATAACATGTATTTTTTCATTTAACTTAATATTATTGGGAGATAAGATTGAACTGTGTTCTGATTGATGACCCAAAATTGTTTTTACTACTTTCCATTTGGTGCAGGGCACAATAATTTAGAAGACCAATTTACAATTCTTATAAAATTTAAACATGGGATTTTGATTTAATAAAAGCTAGGTAAGGTCATCTGGTGTTAAACTCAGATTAGCCAATCATAATTTTTTTCTCTGAATTTACTTGTAAGATAATATTTAATAAAATCATATATTTGAGGACTTCTGTAAAATTTCTGTTTTATGAAACAGAATATGAAATTTCTGTTTTATAATATTTAATAAAATCATATATTTGAGGACTTCTGTAAAATTTCTGTTTTATGAATGTTGGCTTTTATACTTACATGTTGCATAGAAAGTAAACATAGTTTGTTATCATTTTTCCAGTTATCATGAAAGCTGTTTTACTTATTGATTTCCCATAAGAAATTAAATCTTAAAATATTTGGGGCAGCCCCAGTGGCCCAGTGGTTTAGTGCCACCTTTGGCCTGGGGTGTGATCCTGGAGACCCAGGATCAAGTCCCATGTCAGGCTCCCTGCATGGAGCTTGCTTCTCCTTCTGCCTGTGTGTCTGCCTCTATCTCTGTGTGTCTCTCATAAATAGATAAATAAAATCTTTTTTTAAAACAATCTTAATTTTTTAAATTTAAAAATAATTCTTTGAGGTCTGTTTACTTGACCTTTTTCATAAATAATCAATATTCAGTGACTATTTTAACATGATAGAATGAGAAATAGTGAACTGATATATACAGAATGTTGAAAAGTAATATATGTTTTTTATAGGCAGAGCTTCTAGATGCTGCTGCTGGTATTCGTGTACGATTCAGATTAGGTGGTGTAAGTATGGATGAATTCTTATTTGGTAGTTTTTTTTTTATTTGGTAGTTTTAAAGCACATTTCTGTGAAGTTTTAGAAATGTAAATTTTTCGGGGGTGGGGGTGAATGGGTGACAAGCACTGAGGGGGGCACTTGACGGGATGAGCACTGGGTGTTATTCTGTATGTTGGTAAATTGAACACCAATAAAAAATAAATTTATTAAAAAAAAGAAATGTAAATTTTTAAAACAAACCAGTTTTATAATTAGATTACAATGGTCCTTTGAACTTTTCTGTATACAGGTTAAATTTCCACCTGATATATACTATAAAATTTTCACTCATAGACATATTGAAGATCTGTGTGCTAATAGCCCTAGAGATTATACAAAACTTCCAGCAAAATATACATCTCATATTAAAAGCGATGATCTTCAGGAAGAGGATCATAGTGGCTGGTATCATCGTGTAGAGAACAATGGCTGGAGGCCTGTCTCTGATACAGTAAGAAAAGAGAAATATTAATAATTTTGAATCTTTTATAGTTAGAAACTCATTTGTCTTCTTGAAAATTAATTTTAAATTAATAAATCTTGGTAATTTAACTGATAAAAACTGATTATGTTAACTACTCAGGGGTTACTAATAATAATTCCAGATCAGCAATATATCTTTTTTTCTTTACATTTACTTCTAAATGCTGTTGATGCTATATTAATCCTTGGACTAGAGGTGGGAATTCTTGAGAAAAATATGACATTTTCTCTTATAGAGCTTGGAACATCAGAGACTGCTGGGAAATCATTTGGATTGTTATGGTATTTGGAGCTTTAACATATCCTCATATTAATTGAATGGAATGATTTTAAATATACATAATTCTTAAAACATATATGTTGATTTTCCATAGACACCATGTTTGGTGTCTTTTTTGTGGAGATAATCTCTACCTAAGGATATTTGTAAGCTTACATTTTATAGGTTAATATGATCAGGTTCAGTAGCTCTAGGTGTTTGCTTATATGTGCTCGTAGCCTCATTTAGATCCTGAATCTCTGGTATGCAGTTATAGAATGTGGTATATTAAGTATACTAAGTATGAAAGTGAAAATAATCAAGGTGTGAATGCATGCATTCATTCAACAAACCTTATGCATACCAAACATATGTCAGGTATCATACCAGATGCTAGGGATACATGTTATGTTATGTAAAATAGTCCCTCCCCTTAAGTATTTTTCCTTTTAATTTTGGAGAGAGTCAGGTAAAAAGAATATTTCATTACAGTGCAGTAAATATGTGCTCTAAGAGGGACAAATACATAGTGTGGGGGATAGCAAACTCTCTTCCTTGTTCTTCAGTGTGTATGTGGTGAAGGAGAGGGAATGAATTTGAAGTAGATAAATAGGCAGCCAGTTAGGATAGCATGTCACATAGGGAAACCACAAAATCTTGGGACATAATAATGACACTTTGTTCTTGGAGGGCTCCTATACTCCTTGGGAATTAGAATCTTCAAAAGTGAAGAACACTAAGAGTAGGTAAGGTCTGTTCTTATGAAAAACAAAAACAATACTGGAACATGTTCATGTAGCCATTCAGCTAATAGTTATTAATAAAAAAATTACTAATACTAGTGCTTTGTTAGTCTTTCTGTGACATGTATCTCTGAAAGCTCAATGTACTACTCACCCATGCCATAATAAGAAATACCTTAGAGGGGTGTATTCACTTCTCTGTTTCTGCTTTGGCATATTCCTATTGAACTCACAGAAATTCTTGTCTATAGCCAGATAACCTCACAATCAGTATTTCAACACTTTGTATGTTCATTTTTCATTTCTCAATAGTTTTGGATGTCTACTGAAAATGTAGAGTTGGAAGACAAAAAAGAAACTGAATTCCATTTCTCTAAACTAAAGAGAAGGCAGGATATGGAAAAGAAAAGAAAAATTAAAAAAATAGAATGGATGAGAAAAATGTAAGTTGATGAAATGATTAGACATACTAATATATGCTATTTTAAGTTCTTTTTAAAAAGTGCTATCACTACTAAAATAATTACATGTTAATTTTCGAAAGACAATGTAAGGTTACAGTTATCTTTTTAAAAATATGTAGAAAGCAAACATTTAACAAATGCCTGCTTTTGTGAGACACTGTTAATCTCTCAGCTGTAAATGGGGAAAGACATGTTGTCTTTGATCTCAAGGAAATTGCAGTCTTTTGGAATATCAGATATGAAAATAAGCATTTACTCATATATCAGTTAACTTTTATTTGGCCCTCCAGATACACTTTGTACCCTTTTCAACCCTTCTTTCAGCACCCAATACTCTAACCTGCATGGATTACACTGAAAGTCATTCTGGACCTGTCTAACAAATGTTAAAAGCAAGCCAAAAAAATCAGATTGTTCACAAGTTTACTTCACTGCATGCCCAGGACAAATCCCCCAAATATTTAAATGAATACAAAAACTCCACTATCCCAAATTATATAAAATTCACAATGTCTACCATATAGCAGTCAATACCAGGCATGCAAAGAAACAGGAAAATAGATGCCATATGAGAAGAAAAATTAATCAGTAGCAACAGACACACAAAAAATATCGTTTAAAAATGAAAGTGAAAGAAAAACTCTTCAGACAAATAAAAGCTGATTTCTCTCATCATAGTAGACCAGCACTGCAAGAAATTTTTCTGGCAGGAGAAAAATGATTCTAGGTAGAAATCTGGATCTATACAAGGGATGAAGAATTCCAAAAGTGGTAATAATGTAAATAAATATAAAGGACTTCTATTCTTACTCCTTAAATCTCTTTAGAGGATAACTACTGAACTATACAGTTAAAAACAGATATGATAGGGAACCCTGGGTGGTGCAGTGGTTTAGCACCTGCCTTTGGCCCAGGACGCGTTCCTGGAGACCTGGGATCGAATCCCACGTCAGGCTCCCAGTGCATGGAGCCTGCTTCTCCCTCTGCCTGTGTCTCTGCCCCTCTCTCGCTCTCTGTGACTATCATAAATAAATAAAAAATTAAAAATAAATAAATAAAAACAGATATAAATTTTATGTTACACAGTTTTTTCACAATTTTGAAAAGATAGATATTAAAACTCTAAAGGAGTGAGTTGATATTATTATTGTCAATCCAATTCTACCTAAATTTTTTCATTCCACAATTGCACTTCTTTTTACTTATATTGAAAATCTTCAAGTAAAATACAATTGCTTTTTTTACATTACAAATAAATTGCTCCAAAAATAACAAAATAATATCAATACATATATTGCAATTACTGAATAAAGTTCAGTAATTGAATAAAATTTTTTAAGTAAATTTGCTGTTTAAAGCAGAAATGCTGACAATATATTGTGACATTTATAAACTTAGAACAGTACAAAAGTAAAATGTGTTATGACAATATAAAGGTTGGGAGAGGTGAAATGGAAGTATACTGCTAGAAGGTCCTTATTCTACTTATAAACTGGTATAATATTGCTTAAAGGTAGACTGTGATTGTTAAAAACCCTAACAAACTGTGAAATCAGTAATAACAAGAACAAAGGTGTAAATATAATAATTTAATTATGGAAATAAAATAGCCTCATAAAAAAAAACATCAATCCAAAAGAAGGGTGAAAAAAGAGGAAGGGAAACAAAGAAGAGAGGGGACAAATAGAAAGCAAATAGCATGATGAAAACTAAAATCAATCATATCAATAATAATATTAAATGTAAGTAGTCTAAGTACCCCAAATAAAAGCAGATGTTGACAGCCTGGATAAAAAAGCCACACATAAGAACGTAACAATCCTAAATATGTGTTTACTTAATAACAGAGCTTCAAAATACATGAAACAAAACTGTACTACTGTACTGAAAAGACAGATAGATAAAACCAAAATTATAATCAGAGATTTCAAAACCCTTTTACTAGTAATTGATAGAACTAGTGGACAGTAAGTTAGTAAAGATAGAGAAGTCTTGAGCTCAACTATCAATCAATGTGATATAATTAGCATTAATAGAACACTGGCCTCAACAATAGAAAACACATTTGTTTCAAGTATATGTGAAATATCTATCAAGATATATTATATTCTGGGTCATAAAACAAGCATCCACAAATTTGAAAGAGTTAAAATCATACAAAGAAAGTTCTTTGATCACAATGGAATTAAAAAGTAATTAATAATAGAGTAAAATTAATAAAAGAAAAATTTCTGGGAAACCTCCAAATATTTGGATCTTAAACAGAATAACTCTATATAATCTATGAGTTAAAGAAGTCATAAGGGAAATTTGAAAATACCTCTGATTTAATGAAAATGAAAATAAAACATAAAAATTTGAGGATGCAGCTAAAGTAGTACTTACAGAGAAATTTATAGTATTCAATACTTGTATTTAAAAAGAAAGATCTCAAATCAGTGATCTAACCTTCCAACATAATAATCAGTAAAAGAAGAGCAAATTAAACCCAAAGCAAGTAGAAGGAAGGAAATGATAACAGTAGAAAATAGTAATATTGCAAATAGAAAACCATTGGAGAAAATGAATAAAATCAAAAGTTGTTTCCTTTGAAAAGAACAATACAATTTATAAACCTCTAAATAAAAATTTAAGAAGAGAACACATGCAATCCAGAAAAGAAATAAAAAGCAGGATATTACTACCGACCCTACAGACAATATAGATATGAATCATTTAATGCCCACAAATTTGAAAAATTAGGTGGAAGAAAAATTCACTGTGAGGCATATACCAAAATTCAAAAAATGAACAAAAATAACATAAATAGGTCTATTAAAGAAATTGAATTTTTAAATTCAATTATATTTAGTTGAACTATTAAATTATTAAATTAAAAATTCCACAAAGAATACTGCAGGCCTAGATGAATTTCTTAGTGAATTCTAGTAAGCATTTAAGAAAGACAATACAAATTCTACATAATATTTCCAGAAATAGAGGGGACTATGTCCCAACATTATCTATAAAGTATTACCCAATATAAAAACCACTTGAGGCTTATAAAAAACAATATTACAAGGAAATAACCAATATCTTAGGAACATATATATGGATAGTAAATAACATCATGAACAAATGATGTTTATCCAAGGAGTACATGGATGTCTTAACATTTGGAAATCAGGCAATGCAATTTACCATCTAACAGACTTACAAAGAAAGTTGGATATAACCATCTCAATACATGCAGAAAAAATACTACAAAAATCCAACAACCATTTGTTTTGAAAACTCTTGTTCAACTAGGAATAGAAAAGAACCTCCTCCGCCTGATAAAAGACATCTACAAAAAACCTTCAGCTAAGATTATACTTAAAGGTGAAAGACTGAATGCTTTCCCTCTAAGGATAGGATATCTGTTCTCACCACTTCTTCACAACACTGGACTGGAGATCCTAGTCAGTACAATAAGGAAAGAAAGAAGGATGAGGGAGACACTGAAATTGGAAAGGAGGCTCTAAAAGATTCTTTATTCACAGTTGACATGATTGACTAGGTACAGAATCCTAAACAATCTACAAAAAACTTACAGGAACTACTAAGTGAGTTTGTCAAGGTGTGGAATCTTGCCATATTCCAGCAAGAAACAGTAGGAAATTGAATTTTTTAAAAATACATTTACAGTAACATCAGAAAAATTAAATACCTCAGTGTAAATTGAAGAAAAAAGTCTGTATGACCTGTCCACTAAAAACTGCAAAACACTGCTAAGAGAACTTAAAGAAGACTCAAATACCTGATGAGATATACGTTGGTCATGGATCAGAAGTCTCCATATTGATAAGAAGTCCATTGTCTCCAAATTGATCTCTACATTCAATTCAGTTACAATCAAAAGTTACAACAGAATTTTTGAGGAAGTTGACAAGTTGATTTGAGAATGTATATGGAAATGCATAGGAAGTAGATTAGCCAAAACAATTTTGGAAACAAAATTTGGAGAACTTTTACTACTTGATTCTAAGATTTTTATAAGGCTACTATACTGAAGACATTGTGTTATTAGCATAAAGATAGACATATAGATGAATGGAACAAAATAGAGAGTTGAGAAATAGATACACATGAATACTCGTAAGGTTTAACACAGGTGCCTAGGCAATATAATTGGAAAATGATGTTCTTTTCAACAAAGTGGGTATTCAAATGCAGAAAAATGAACTTTGACCCTCATCTCACAACATATATATAAAGTTTTATATCTCGAAAGAGGTCACAGATCTAAACATAAATGCTAAAACTATAAAATACCTACAAGTAAGCAAAGAAGACAATCTTAGAGACCTTGGTTCTGGCAAAAATATCTTAAATAGGACACAGAAGGCATGACATATAAAGTTGCTAAATTGCAGCTCATTCAAGTTAAAAGCTTTTGTTATTTGAAAGATACTATTTAAAAAAAGACAAGCTACATGGATGTTAAATAACTGGAATTTAAGTAAAATCTTGAGGAAAAAAAAGACAAGCCACGGACAGGAAGAAAACATTATATATATGTTATATATGTAATTATATACATATGATTATTAAAGTCTTGTATCTAGAATATTAAAAACCCTCAAACCTCAATAATAAGACAACCTTCAAAGCAAAAGATTTGAACACTCTTATCATTGAAGATACATGGATAGCAAATACATGAGCACAAGTGAAGTAATGACTATCATCATTAGTTATTAGGGAAATGCAAACTAAAATTTTAATAACTTACCCCTGTATATGCACAGGAATGGTTCAGTCTGCCATACTAATTGTTGGCACAGCTATGGAGTGAATGCAAACTGCTACATCCACTTCGAGAACCAGTTTGACAGTTTTCTTACGAATTAACATACACCTACTATTCATCCCAGGCACTCTACTCCTAGGTATGTACCCAAGATAATAAAAACATGTCCACAGAAAGATTGTGTATGAGTGTTCTATTTGTAATAGCC